AATGACTCAGCTTCAAATCATTTTCAAGAATAGAATTATATTAGAAGATTTAACCTTTATTCACTGAAAAAAAAAATCCTTTGTTATCGGTTATGTTGAAATATTTTCGAAATATTTCCTTATTAATAGGAAAGCATAAATTTTTCTTTTTTTTTAAAAATAAAATTTGAATAAATAGCATTGGTTATTTTATCATAAACTTGGAAGTGTTAAATCAAATTGCAGTTAAAAATATTATTTCCTCGTTTATCACCTGTTTTTTATAAAAATATTTTTTTCTCTCTATATTTATCGATAAAATATTTTTTTAAATATTTTCCTTTATTCTTTTAACATTATTTTACTTCAAAATATATCTGTAATAAAATATTTTAGATATTAATATATCTTATTTATAATAAAAGTAAGCCAATTTATTATTATGCATATTTTCTAGAATGTAATATCAGTCTATTCTTATAAATTCATAATTAATGAACGTTAAAACTGCAAATATTGTTACTTTTCAATACGTTTAGTTTTATTTTTTCTTTTACCTTTAATACTTTTCAGCTGAATATTATTCTGTGTAAAATTTATAAGATTATGCATTGAATTATATACATTAAAAATATCTCCTCTATATACCATGCAATACTCTATATACAATGCTACACAGTAATTCTTTGCTGAATATAATAAATACTATTCAGTGTAAGGAAGAATATTGTAGTATTTAATAGAGAGGCAAAGTAAACATTCAATCATACTCTAAAAATAAACGTTTTTTTGTTTTGTTGTTGTTAAATCAATATACGAATGTGAATTTTATTAGTACATTACAGAATTATAAATGTACAGTACTTTGTGTAATCTTATACTACATGAATGCAAATCTTGAATGCAAATCTTCATTGAGTAGGCTAATAAGAAGAATCAAATGGATATTAATACGAAATGATTCTTATATTTGCATTATAAGAGCTTGAATAATTTTTTTTTTTTAATTTTGGACTCTTTATATGAATTTTAATGCTTACTTTGTAATTTAAAAATATTAAATTATTAATAATATGCAACAAATTAAACTTTAATCTAATCTTAAAATCTGTAAATTTCGGTCACAATATACCTTAACTGTGTGTAGGCCTGGAGTTAATTGATATTTATGATTAAGTTTCAACTCAATTTTGCCTCATTTTGCAAGTTTTGATATCGTATATTGTTGTTATTTAAGACACATTAATATTGTTTCAACTAATATATTTAACATTAAGGATTTTTAGTTTTAGATAATAATATAATATGCATAATTCAAAGCAAGGTGTTTTCAAATATTTAAAATAAATATAGATTGAAATATTATATTCTATAATGATATTTTACATTGTATTGACTTGTAAGATTTACAATTCGAGAATATAAACTTAAATTATATTTAAAAAATTGCTCTTGATGAATTTATCTTTCATTTATAAACTTCTGTCAAAGTTCTTAAAATTTCTTTCGTATATTATATTTAAATTATAAATTATTATTGTCATTTTTATAATTGTTAGTTCAATAACTTGAAAAAAAATAAACAAGAAATAATTATTTAAATATTTTCATATTTGAAAATTATATAAAGTTTTGAGATTTTTAAATTTGTAAAAATTAAATTTTGATTTTTTTCATTTGTTTTCTATTTAGTTTATTTCATGTATTATATAAATACGGTTTACGTTCGTTTATCTTAAAACGTTAGAATTTCTACAAAACTTTAATTAAATACAGCAGCTAAATCAATTGCTGAAATTTAAATTTAATGATTAAATATTTCAGAATTATTCTTTATAAAGAATTGTTTATTTCAATTCTATCCTTTTTTTTTTATAATAATCTCAGATTTTTTCCTGTCCTTTTTCTGTCATTTGTATATCTTACTCGTTTGACAATCATCGTGTTTATGGCCAGAAAGGACAAATCTTCATATAAAATGATTTAAAAAAACCTAGAAATGTTATGTTTTCCTTGTAAAATCTAAATTAGATGAAATGTGTGATTCTAGAATTACGATTTTTTTTAACTTAAAAAAATAATACTCGAAGCTTATTTTAGGCATAAAATATATAGGCCAATTAATTAACGAAATTCAAAATTAATTTAATTCTATAACGAATTATCTCAACACAAATACAAATATAGATAATAAATCTTTATTGCACAAACTGATATGTTAAAGAGAAAAAAAATAATAACAGAGGAAAATTCTAAAAGCAGGAACAAAAGTCAGATGGTCACCGCACCATCTTTATTCTTTAAACAAGAAAAAAAGTTTTTTTCTATTTTAATTTGACAATTTTCCACATAATATGAACACTAATTGTACATACATTCACAATCCGACAATATGTATTTTATAATATAATTTTATTTTTTCCTCAGTCCCTTTCGTGTTATGAGGCCTGATAGACCCTATTTATTATTAATGAATAATGTCACATCACAACTACAGCTAAATGGTGATACTTTCAAACCCGCTTAAAGTAGCTAATTAAAAAAAAATGTGAGNGGTCACAATATACCTTAACTGTGTGTAGGCCTGGAGTTAATTGATATTTATGATTAAGTTTCAACTCAATTTTGCCTCATTTTGCAAGTTTTGATATCGTATATTGTTGTTATTTAAGACACATTAATATTGTTTCAACTAATATATTTAACATTAAGGATTTTTAGTTTTAGATAATAATATAATATGCATAATTCAAAGCAAGGTGTTTTCAAATATTTAAAATAAATATAGATTGAAATATTATATTCTATAATGATATTTTACATTGTATTGACTTGTAAGATTTACAATTCGAGAATATAAACTTAAATTATATTTAAAAAATTGCTCTTGATGAATTTATCTTTCATTTATAAACTTCTGTCAAAGTTCTTAAAATTTCTTTCGTATATTATATTTAAATTATAAATTATTATTGTCATTTTTATAATTGTTAGTTCAATAACTTGAAAAAAAATAAACAAGAAATAATTATTTAAATATTTTCATATTTGAAAATTATATAAAGTTTTGAGATTTTTAAATTTGTAAAAATTAAATTTTGATTTTTTTCATTTGTTTTCTATTTAGTTTATTTCATGTATTATATAAATACGGTTTACGTTCGTTTATCTTAAAACGTTAGAATTTCTACAAAACTTTAATTAAATACAGCAGCTAAATCAATTGCTGAAATTTAAATTTAATGATTAAATATTTCAGAATTATTCTTTATAAAGAATTGTTTATTTCAATTCTATCCTTTTTTTTTTATAATAATCTCAGATTTTTTCCTGTCCTTTTTCTGTCATTTGTATATCTTACTCGTTTGACAATCATCGTGTTTATGGCCAGAAAGGACAAATCTTCATATAAAATGATTTAAAAAAACCTAGAAATGTTATGTTTTCCTTGTAAAATCTAAATTAGATGAAATGTGTGATTCTAGAATTACGATTTTTTTTAACTTAAAAAAATAATACTCGAAGCTTATTTTAGGCATAAAATATATAGGCCAATTAATTAACGAAATTCAAAATTAATTTAATTCTATAACGAATTATCTCAACACAAATACAAATATAGATAATAAATCTTTATTGCACAAACTGATATGTTAAAGAGAAAAAAATAATAACAGAGGAAAATTCTAAAAGCAGGAACAAAAGTCAGATGGTCACCGCACCATCTTTATTCTTTAAACAAGAAAAAAAGTTTTTTTCTATTTTAATTTGACAATTTTCCACATAATATGAACACTAATTGTACATACATTCACAATCCGACAATATGTATTTTATAATATAATTTTATTTTTTCCTCAGTCCCTTTCGTGTTATGAGGCCTGATAGACCCTATTTATTATTAATGAATAATGTCACATCACAACTACAGCTAAATGGTGATACTTTCAAACCCGCTTAAAGTAGCTAATTAAAAAAAAAATGAAAGAAATAAATTTAAAAATTATGAAAAAAAACAAATTTTTATGATGAAATGATCCACCTTATCAGCTCAATAAGTTTTTTCTTTTTATAAAGGCATAATTTGATAGTACAGATAAGTATATTAATATGATATTATAGATAAGCATAGACATAAATTCCCCCAAATAAAGCTTAATTTTTAGAGATAATTTACAAATAATATATTAAGTCTAAGTTTATAGGCAAGTATTGCCTATTTGTTAGACTTATAAATATTTATGTTATTATAAAATATTTTTATTTTTTTTTATAATTTCGATTATATGAAATATAAAAATTTAATTTATTATAAATAATAATAGCAATATTCGATTGAATTATACAAATGTAAACTACAGGATAGAGGAATTTATATTAAATATTAAAGTTTAATTATGATTAAATCACGATAAAGTATTATGATTGTTTCTTAAGGAAGAGTTTTAATTTTTTTTTTTTATATTCACTAGTGATAATTTAATTTAATTTTCTATTAAAATTATCTAATTTGAAGTAAGCTTATTCTATATAAAACATATTTATACTCGTTTGAACTTAAAATAATTTTGTACTTCACGGTTTATTCGTTATTATTATTATTTTTTTTTTACTAAGTTAATTTAAAGTAAGTTTTTTAATTAGTTTAAACTACGGGTAACCTTTATAAATTACTAACAGTAGTTTGTGGATAAATTTATTTGCATCACATTTAAAAATATAGTTGATAGAGCTTCAAATTTTATTAAAGTTTATAAATAAAATTCAAAATTGAGTTTGTTTAATAAAACAATTAAACCTATTAAACTAATTATTTGATTTGTTAATTTATTTATAACTTATTTTAATTCTATATCAGTATAGAAAGGAATCGACGAATTAAATTAAATTTTATAACGTCAAATAAAAAAAGGGGAGGGCCAGAAACCCATAGCTTAAACCACTTTTATTTCTTCAATTATATAATAATGCTTAATTGTTTAGAATTGGAATGATATATATATATATTAAAAAAACTTTTTAACAATTTTATAACAAATCAATCATAATTATTTTAATATTATGATCGCTATCTGAAATATATAGGCCTATATATTTATTTTAATAATGTATTCGGCCCTTAATCGTGATAAAGTACAGTACATAAAGCAATATGAAAGAATTTGTTCGTTTTAAATTGACCTTAAGAGAAAACAATTAAACAAAAAAAAACACTTCATAGGCCTAAATATTAAATAAGTTTCCCGGATTGTGAATTGAGCCCATGATGTGTAAATATGATAATATATTTAGGCGCCTATATATATATATTTATATATGTATGTATATATAATATGTATATATATTACATAGTTATATCTCTCAATTGGGTTTTAAAAACCCAAGGACTAGCTTCCTAATATTTTAATCCGCTCCAGGAATTTTTTTTTCTTGATAATCTTTCTAATCTTCTGATTTTTACTGTCGTAATTCATAAAAAATATTGTTTATTAAATTGTGTCTATATAATTAATTTATATACTTTTCTTAATTAATATTTAATCTATATTTTAATTTTCGTATATCTAAAAGGCTAATTTTTATTATAATATGGAAAGAAAGGGCATTAAAAATACCTCTGATTATATTAAAATTATAGCTTAATTTTTTTAAATATTAAAAAAAAACAATTTAATTAATCTTCGTTTAAATTCATTAAATTATTTCAATTTATAAAGTTTGATATAGGCTATATATCGTTATATGGACGGTTTTCTTTGCTATCAACGAAATTTAGGTGACCAATTATAGTATTTAAGGAACAATTGTCGCAACCAAATATAGCGAATTTTATATTATACTTAAAAAAAAAAAAAGAATAAGATTTTCTAATCTTATGCACACTTTGGTTCAGCACTTTTACACACTTAAGAAGTTCAGTGTTTCTATAAATGGCAGTCATTATTGATATAAATTTAATACAACGAAAGTTAAGTACGTCCGACCAAAATAGTTTTGGTTTTTTTTTCGAGTTTATAACAAGAAATTTAAATGATTTAATTCTTTACAAATGAAATAAGAGGAAAAAAAATGAATGTAAAAATTCAGAAGATTTTTAAGATTATTATGCAAAATTTCTTTCACGTCAATCACTAATTTTGTGCACATCTTTCTTCATCAGATTTAGATCTTGTATATTATCAATAATCGTCTTGTGAATGTTGTGCATTTTAGCTGCGCTGACATCTTTTTTTAATTCTTCCATATCTCTTTTCAATTTCGCTCTTCTATTCTGAAACCATGTGATGACCTGTGCATTTGTTAATCCTAAAGATTGGGCGATTTCGTCCCTGTCAGCTGGTGATAAATATTTTTGATAAAGGAACCTCTTCTCTAATTCAAAAATCTGATGATTGGTGAATGCTGTTCTCGATTTTCTTTTCTTCTTAGGTTGTTGACGATTGCTAAACAAATTCAGATGATCTTGTGACACATCTAGAAATAGATATGAAAATAATTTTATAAATTTATTACAAAAACGAATCACGTAGTGTGTGAATTAGTTATATAAGCAATATCTTAATCTATCATTGGAGAAAATTATAATGGATGATTAATATACTTACAGATAGATATTAAGTATATAATATAAACTATAAATATACCTTCTACAGGCCGAAAAGAACAGTTGTATTAACAAATATATAATAATTATCTTCTTATTAATACAATATACAAATAAATAGAAATGAATAAGAGAACACATTATAATAATACCGCTTGTATTAAATTAATGAGAAATTTTTAAGCTTTACACAGAATTTGAGATTAAATATTTAAAAAGTCGAATATGATCCATTTCAGTTTTGATCAAGAATTTTAAATAATTGAAATCTGATGTATGAAGAAATTGTTGAAATCTAACCGCAAGAAAACGCAATTTCAACAAATAAATTTTATTTTATTAATTATGAAGTATTAAAAATGTTTCAATATCCATTCAATTTAACTATTATAATTGAAATTTATGAAATTTTATTATTTAGATTCAACCTATTAAATAAACCAAAATTTATGAATACTGTACTGATATTAACAGATAAATATTTAATTAGTATAATATGGAAACTAGGGAAAAAATTCACTAAAATTATGGCTATATTCATTTATAGTTAACAGAAATTTGAGAAAAAGTTTGGCAAATTTGTATGTTTTAAGTATAGAAGAGCCTAATATACTGTATATATATTAGAATATATTACAAATATATTAGAAGATTATATAAATAAATTAAAGTCCATAATTCTTTACATCATAGGAACAGCAAAAACAATAGAAGTGGAATCGACTTTCCTTTTTTTAGCACTTTAAACAAGTAAAATTGTTGAACTTTGTCTCATATTTGTATATATCTTCTAACTATTTAATTAATTAACACTATATTCATGCAGATATATTTAATTAACTTGATCAACAACATAAGAAATTATTTTAGATTTAATTAATACTAAATTCTTATTCAGGTTTTTATTTCGTACAGTGCATCTGTTTTTCTCTTAAAATGAATTATAAAATCTATTATAATCTCCTATTTCATCTACAAGAATTAAGAATAGAATCTACCAAATGTCAATCATATTATGTTAGTTAATTACTTGCTGACATCATTTAAATTGCCTAACTAGCACCGTCTAACACGATTCTTTTATTTATAATAATAATTAAAAAAAACATTGCTAAGCATTTATTGTTAAAATTTTAATTTAACGAGTAAAAAGTATAATCAGTTTTGTTCTTAAAAATAAATCAATTGTTGGGAATTTTGAATGAATTTAATTGTTAATTTTAGAATATAATAAATGCTATTTAATGAAAATAATTTATTTTTAGTACTAAAAATAATTATTTTTCACTCCTGATAAGATATAAGTCCTAATTATATTCCATTGTTTAAAATAAATCAGAAATCTTTTAATGTGTCTAAATTAATTCATAGTTGGGTAGATCGTGTTTTCGACTAATTGACTGTGATAATAAATTATTTCTTCTGATAATTAAGACGAAAACTTAAATTAAAATTCTTCTCGGTTTAGAGAATAGTGCTCAGTAAAAATAGGCATATCATTTGATATCATTTGGACAAACAAAGGATTTGTCGTTTGGTGAACGTCATCAGCTCTTATCTCAATAAAAAGTTAAGTCATGATTTATTAAAGTTTGTCACGTCAACTTTCCACTTGGATGTACGAAAACTTCTATTTTTCCTACGTCTGCAATCGAGATGTCATTATCTCTGATCACGTATATAGTATACTTGCTGTTGAAAATTCGATTGCTTGTCACTAGAGATAGGCTTATAGTGGAAAGCAGATAATTGCTGGATGGGTTATAGGACTCCTATAGTGACAATTAAATAATTCGTGATACATTATTTCTGCTAATTGTTGCAAGTTGTTCACTGCATGTTGATCAGATCAAACAATTGTTTCATGCAAATGAAAATAGGGAAAGTGGCTTTTAAATCTATTGAGTTTTAATAACTACTATTTAATTGTATGAGTCTTTGAGGTGGGAAAAGGGGGAAGTTCAAAGATTAATGGTTTTATGTTAATGCTTAATTATGAACTTGAGTTGTATCTATGAATTTTAATGCATTATAGAAATAATTTTTAATTGAATTCATTCTGAACAAAGTTANCTAAATTTGGAACAAAAACTCTTTGAAAGAATTTATTCTTAAACAATATTTTTTACAATTGAAAACAAGAGTTAAAATTTTAAATTTACTCGTAAACAAAGGGTTGTACCCGTTATAAACCACGCCCCTCTTCATTTCTATTGGATCATCTTGAAACGAATTAGAGAAGAAGCAAAACGAATGCACCGTGACCGTAATCCACGCCCACTCTCTCCCTATCGAGAGATTTTTATCGTGTGTCGCACTATTGTCATAACAGGTGTAAATCTGATGAACAGGTAAAAGTCTGTAGTGTGACAATAATTGCATGCTATTTAAAAAGGCACGTCGAGTAAAATTTACTCAAAATATTAATACTACAGTATTAGCTTAATGATAATTAGTTTCAAACAAAAAGACTTAATAAAATTAAATTATTTCAATATTTTTTTATTATTATTTTTACTTTATCGAGGGTGGGTCTACGAAAATTCTTTCACCTGTCCAATCTCTTTTAGAATGCTGGCCTTTATCCAAGGGCACGAATCTGTTAGGAAAAAACCTTCGAAAGATATAATTTGGGCATCTGGAGCTAAGCTTCGTATCTTTTTTTATCTTTTATAATGATTTCCAAGACGTTTGCGATATATTTTGTACTTAGAGATATCGACTTCGTTTCATTTTGTATAGGTTTATGTCTAAACATAGAATCTGTGTAAATCTATAATGACTGAAGTTAAATTCGTTTATAAAAAAATAAACTGAGAATTATAGATTCGCATAGACTATTCATCTTGAATAAATTAAAAGTTAATTCAAAGACTCACAAAAGATCCATGCATCGAATTTTGGTTAAACTTTATAATTTACTGTAATTTTCCTTTAAAAAAATCACGTTAAAAATTTCAGTACATTATTATCTACAATATTACGATATAGAAACAATAGGTGTCATAAGAAAAATAGGATTTAATACTTTTATTAGCTCTACGTTTTTCTAGTTATCTTTAAAAATAGATTTAACTCAAATTATAATAAATTTCACTTAAAATTTGATAAATACTGTAAAAATGTTAATAAAAATAGCATATCATTTTGACATAAAGTACTTGAAATAATCCAATGATACAAGTTAATAATTATCAGATCTATTTAAAAAACAGGAAGATACTGTACAAAAATAATAACTTGCATAAAAAATATCATTTGAAAATAGGCCTCAAACAAAACTTAATGACAATTTTAGGAATTATAGAATAAGTCAGAACAAGACTTAATGATTTTGTCCCATTAAATATCATTTAGTCTTTAAAAGAAGTTTTAGGCTAACTTAGATGAAATCTATGTAGGTTGCCTAATTATCGAAAATCTAACTTTATCTATATGCTTGTTAAAGTTTTGTAAACATCATTTATGTAGGCTTCCTTCTATAATAAGCCTCAGGTTAAGTAGCATTTCGGTCATAGGCCTACATGTAGAACTTATAGACTATTAGTCTATTTATTGATTAATCTCTGTTTCCGTGAAATAGAAAATGAATTTATGATTGAATATTATAAAAATTCATTTTATTAACTTTGTTTTTGTTTAAAATCTGGGTGTATTCATAATTATAATTTGTTCTGTTATAAATTAAACATAAGTTCACAAGTTATCTAAAGTGTAAACTTGAATGAGTAAATGTTATTCTGTTCCTAAAGTTCTTTAGGCTGTTATTTTTGTAGTCATAGAAAAGCCATTAAGATGACAAATGGGCTAAAATGTTATTTAAATGCTACTTTGATAAGTGAAATTAGCTCTGTAAAATGTAAGAGAAAGAGATAGGACGGAATCGATAAAGGGATTGGTGAAAGGCTGATAACATCTAAGAAAAATAATGTAAGCTGAACTTATCAAATCAGACTTCAAAATCTCTAAAACATACTTGCGTCTATTATTATCTACAAAATATCATCATTATTTTGATTGTAAAAGTTTTAAATCAAATTCTCTCCTTCTATTCTCGCAAGATATAAGAAAATAGTAGACCCTATTTATAAGAGAATCTCGAGTATTAATTTTAATAAATCTGAAGTAAATTTATCGCCCTGTTTCAATTTATCAACTGATTTTCATATGTTTAATTATCAAGTGTTTATTAAACTATTTTATCTTAAAAAGTTAGAAATTATGCCCAATTGATTTTTATAAGATTGGACAAGCAATTCACTAACGTTTCATTTTGCCGTATCAATACAATTCTCATTTACACTAGACAATTAAAACATAGTACAGTATTTAAAATTAAGCATTTCCACCAATTGTAAACATTAAATTAAATACCAAACAATATCCAAATACCAAATTCAATATCCAAACTTTGTCCTTTATTATATGTGTTAATTAAATTTCAAATATTCAAACGATCGTTTCACACGATCGAATTCATACAATAGTTATCATACTCTCTATTAGATCCATTCTTTATTTCACTAAAATAACAAAAGTATAGTTAATAGGTTCTATATATCTCGATAAAACGTAAAAAGCTATTCTGAAAGGGTAAAATTAATAAATATTAAGGCGCCTCTAGTTACCATTTCATGAAATTATCTCGGATTACATTAACAGAGTCTGTCACATATGAAAATTGAACTTCGAACGTAGAAAAACTACCAATTATGGACAATTAAGCCCGCAGCATCTGATATTTATTCATTCTATCTTCCTTCCATTTTGTTACAAATTGGACTGAGTTCAGTCGTGCATAGAATAAGTTTTCCGGGATGTAATTATCATGAATAATTAATTGATGGTTATTTAAAACTATAGAGATTAT